TATGTTTGATTGCATCATATAATAATTGCTGTTGATAGTGTTCATCGTCTGTTTTATTACGTCTTAAATTGATTTTTCCGTACATTTCTGCCATATGTACATTGAATGACAGTCACCACTGATAAGCTACCACTAAATATTGTAGAAACTTAATTTGCTGTAAAGTTGCTTTGCAATGATTTGTATCGTGAAAAGCGCTGTACAAATAAACTAGAATGCATCATTCATTCATTCATTCATTCATGGCTCAAAACTTAAGCACCTTCTCAAAACAGTTCTGAAGCATGCTTTTTGTTTATGTTTGCTGAAACATGCAAATGACTTGTTGCACTTATGAATATGATAACTTTCCTGCATCAATTCTAGTAGGGTAAAACGTAATTACGCTTTCGAAACGGTCTGTTTTGCCCTGAAAATGCCAAAAATCGGCCGATCGATCGGTCGACCTCTAGTTATTTCTGAGCTCGGCTTTCAATTGTGACCAGTGAATTTGAAAAGTTTGATAAAAATTAAATCTATAGCCTAATAATTCACGGATTCGCTAGTGTTGTCTGCAACCTGATCTCCAGCGAAAGGCTTCTGCACACAAAAAAGAAAAGCCCTATATGAACAGGCAGCATAATGAAGCGAATGGATTTTCCTGATGGATCTCATATCTATAAGATGATTTCTGTGTGCGAGGTTACAAACGTAGCCTATGCTCCTTTTCTATGTGCGTTCCTCACTTAACACGAAAGTGAAAGTAGCCTATGCATTCGGGATAGTTTAAAAGAACTCGGGTCTAATCGGGTCCATTTGGAAAAAGCATGTTTATTTTAAATTACCCGAGACCCCTAATACCGAACCCTACCTGTGTCCGAGGTACTCGTCGAAATTTTGGACCCGAACCCGCTCGGGTCTCGTGTCGGACCTCGGGTTTTCGGATCCAAGTGGACCCGTGAAGACCTCTACTGTGGAGTAGCGCATGATACGATTGACTGGGTTCGAGTCCGTCTTTTGCCAAACTCGCTTTTCTTCCTGTTCTCATCACATATCACATTGGAAGTGTTACTACAGTAAATCCATTGTAAATATTAATTTGTGAATTGAAAAGTATTCTAACTGCATTGTTGTCACACAGTGTTTCTCCTGCTTTCTGCGTCAGTGTTGTTGAGAATGGCAGCGCAGTTTCATCTGCCTTTAAATTAGTTTAAATCACTGTGACATCTGTGGTTTATATAGGAGAGCTCTGCTCCAAACTCGAACGCATCTCACTGCGCTGTTTAGTGGTCGCATGATCGAGACCTGCGAGTAAACGCATTTGTTCTGAGCTCGCGCTGCGCTGTCTTTAGGCAGATAACGGTCCGTGCAGCGCGCTTCACACGAGTAGAGCTCTTTTGCTTTCAGTGCGCTAAAGAAATGACAGCGCATATGAGTTACCAAATTGTTGTCACTCACGTTTTACTGATACATCTGGCCTAAAATTTAGCGCTGTCACCTTGTGTTGACATTGTGAAACTGCATGATTTGTAAATTATGATTGGCGGGCCACATATAATAGCCTACATTTCAATAGACAAGCTGCGGGCCGTTTTTTGGCCCGTGGCCGGACTTTGGACACCCCTGCCAGTTGCGATTTACAGTGAAAATAGTTATATGTATTTACACTAAGTGACAACAGCAGAATTTTAGATATGTGCTATTTACACTAAGTGAAAATAGCCATTCTATTTACGTTATGTAAAAGTAGCAGATCTTTTCAATAAGTGTAAATAGTAGATAATTAGATGCTATTTATACTTATAAATAGTGGCAGATACTATTTGCACCTCAGTATTGTTGTACATTAACAGGATGCAATAATAACATTGATTTTAATAACAATGATTTTATTTATTGAAATTATTAAATA